AATGAAGATCGAGCGATTAAAAGATAAATTTGCCAAAAAAAGTACACAACTGACGAAAACACCAAAAGTTGATTTAGATAAGCAACTCGTGGAAGCATTATCAAAGGTAGCACAACTTGAAATCGAACTCTGGGGGCAGACACAAGAAAAAGAACAAGCACAGGAGAACCTATCCAAGGCCAGATCTGAGGTATAGGTTTGGTGGGAGATCATTTCATTTTTCTAAACACTTGAGTAAGCTTCAAATGCTTGATAGTTCTTTTGGAAAAACAAGAGTTGAATACCTGAAATATTTTTATCATGGATTAGAGTTTTTGAGTCATCATCAACCCACATTGAAGACTGAGAATCTCTTACTAAGCTTGCATATCACCTTAATGTAGTTTTTTTATTATCAAGTGATATCCTTATGAAATCTTTGTGATTAGGTTTCTCAAGGGAAAAAAAAATTGTAGTAAGTTTCTACATAGGGTGCTACTTGTGGTTCAAAGAGTGGTTTCTTTAATTCTTTTTTGAAGTATATTGCATGTGTCTGTAATTGAAAACCTTATAAAGATTAACGATTAGTGGAATATCTATCAAGTTGATTGAGGAACATGTAAGAAAAATGATAGTGGTTGAGTTAGTATAAATTTTTGTACAAATTTTACTTATCCTATCTTGAATATTGTTAATAGAAATTCTTATTAATTTATCACACTACAAAAAATATGTAATTTAGCGACCACCAAAATCGGTCGCTAAATTGCAAAAATCGGTCGCTATTTACCTTAGCGACCGAATTTAATCAGTCACTAAGCTATTTAGTGACTGAAAAATTTTCGGTTGCTAATTCGGTCGCTAAATAATGGTTGAAATGATTTTGGTCGCTGAAGTGCATGAGACCAAATTAGTGACCGAATAAATCGGTCGCTAAATAGAAGTCATGTTAGCTTTTGCCCTTCATCTTGGTTGCTTGTGTCCTGTTCTTTATTTCTTTTATGGGTGTCTTCGTCTGATGTATTCCCTTCATTTGATCAGCCTTTATCTAGTGCTTAGCTCATATCTCTTGGTTCTAGTGTAGATGGTAATAATGGATATCCTCTATTCTTCAATCTGCCTATACTTATATCTGAAACCCTAAAACACTTGTTAGAAATAACAACATGTATTATATTTGTCTCATTCAAAACCTTGTTGGGAATTGCTGTTTAGCTTTGTAATTACCTTGTAATTAGCCATTTGTAGGAGTGTCTTGGGTGTGTCTTTGGTACACAACCATCTCTCCTTAGGTTACTCATTTTCGTTAGAACTTGGTGAGAGTGGTCCTTGATTGATCTTTGGTATCTCTCAAGCTCTCACCCTAGGACACGTTTAGATAGTTTAATTCTTGCAAACATACTTGTTTTAATTGCTTTCATTCGTCTAGTATATCTTAGTTCACAAATCACAAAAATAATTTTCATTGAAAAAGATTTTGGTGGAGATTAACTACAAGGGGGATTAGTAATTTTTACTTGAAGAGGCTTGGTTATTAAGTGGCTCTTAGTAGCTCACCTCCCTCCAAAGTTCAATTTGTATACTTAGTCCTCCAAGTACTTAGTCTTAACCTTGTTTAAAAATTGCTTTCAAAACTTCTTTCATTAAAAGAAACATTTCTCCTATAATGGAAGAATTTTCTACTCCTCAAAGTGATAGTAATTCAAGTGATTACAATGACTTGTCAAAAGTAACACATGAATTAAGATCACT